CTAGATAGAATTCGTTGAGGTCAGCGTTGGCTTGTGCAAGGAAGTTTGAATTTATATACGATCTAGTAAGAAGGTTTTGGAAGTCCTAAAAACTGAAAGAATCATCGGAATGAGTTTGTGAAGTTGCCATTTGATGCAAAGTATAGATGCTGTGAAGGTTTCTTGAGAAGCGTAATGAGGAAGCAAGACAATGAACAATGACCTTTCTAGAATGCACGATGTAAGGACGTGAAGATAATGGTGCGATGAAGTAGCGTGTCTTTTGGGTTTATTGGGATTTGTAACGTTGCACCTTTTCAGGCTATAGAAGGAAATAATTATTGGAATTCTTGGAAATTTCAAATATTGCCGGAAAATACAAAGGAAGAATATGGTAAAGATTAATAATTGATATTAATTCTGCCATATTGGGGGTTAATCGTTGACATACAAAAAGTGTAGCCCAAATTGAATAGTCTAAAGAATGAAACCCAATTGAGAAATCCAGGACGAAGGCCTAAATAGGATCATTAGTGAATAGAGTGGAGGCCCATGAACAAAATAACATTATCGCCCAAACTTGCTTGACGCCTAGAATCTGAGCGAATGGAGTGCGTTACCGTCGCCCAGAGCGATGATCTCGTTCTCGCCCAAACCCTCGAGTCCCCCAGGAACTGAACAAATCTAAGATGTTATGGTTATCCAATACAGTAGTTATTGAAGTGGTTATTGAGCAACCTTATCAAACCCCACGTTCCAAGAATCTCGGTTGTAGACAGTTAAACGACAAGAGTAATGGCAACGGTTAGAGACGGCAGTTTCATGACAAGTCAGCCATCATGAAAAAAGTGGGTAGTTATAGAGTATCAAGCAGTTTCCAAGTAGTTTTTCACAAAGAAACTATCAAGGGAGTATAAAAAGGAAAGGAAGACATAGAAGAAAGGACTCCGAATCAAACACTCTCAACAGAGAATATGTAATTTCAATTTTTTAATTTAATTTTAAAACACTTCTTTTAGTACTCACTAGATAGAATTCGTTGAGGTCAGCATTGGCTTGTGCAAGGAAGTTTGAATTTATATACGATGTAGTAAGAAGGTTTTGGAAGTCCTAAAAACTGAAAGAATCATCGGAATGAGTTTGTGAAGTTTCCATTTGATGCAAAGTACAGATGCTGTGAAGGTTTCTTGAGAAGCGTAATGAGGAAGCAAGACAATGAACAATGACCTTTCTAGAATGCACGATGTAAGGATGTGAAGATAATGACGCGATGAAGTGGCGTGTCTTTTGGGTTTATTGGGATTTGTAACGTTGCACCTTTTTAGGTTATAGAAGGAAATAATTATTGAAATTCTTGGGAATTTCAAATATTGCCGGAAAATACAAAGAAAGAATATGGTAAAGATTAATAATTGATATTAATTCTGCCATATTGGGGGGTAATTGTTGACACACAAAAGTGTAGCCCAAATTGAACAGTCTAGAGAATGAAGCCCAACTAGGAAATCCAGGATGAAGGCCCAAATAGAACCGTTATGGAATGTAATTGATATTAATTCTGCCATATTGGAGGTTAATCGTTGACATACAAAAAGTGTAGCCCAAATTGAATAGTCTAAAGAATGAAACCCAATTGAGAAATCCAGGACGAAGACCTAAATAGGATCATTAGTGAATAGAGTAGGGGCCCATGAACAAAATAACATCATCGCCCAAACTTGCTTGACGCCTAGAATCTGAGCGAATGGAGTGCGTTACCGTCGCCCAGAGCGATGATCCCGTTCTCGCCCAAACCCTCGAGTCCCCCAGGAACTGAACAAATCTAAGATGTTATGGTTATCCAATACAGCAGTTATTGAAGCGGTTATTGAGCAACCTTATCAAACCCCACGTTCCAAGAATCTCGGTTGTAGACAGTTAAACGACAAGAGTAATGGCAACAGTTAGAGAAGGCAGTTTCATGACAAGTCAGCCATCATGAAAAAAGTGGGTAGTTATAGAGTATCAAGCAGTTTTCAAGTAGTTTTTCACAAAGAAACTATCAAGGGAGTATAAAAAGGAAAGGAAGACATAGAAGAAAGGACTCCAAATCAAACACTCTCAACAGAGAATATGTAATTTTAATTTTTTAGTTTAACTTTAAAACACTTCTAAAAGAAAACATAGAAGAAAAGACCTTGAATCAAACACTCTCAACAGAGAATATGTAATTTCAATTTCTTAGTTTAACTTTAAAACACTTCTTTTAGTACTCGTGTGCTTGCGCCCCTGGAGTCATTCTGTTTATTTCTCATTGTACTCTTCATCAATAAAGCACGCATTTTTGGGATTTTGTCTCAAGAGGTTTGTTCCTTACACAATCGTCTGATCCATTTTTTAATTGTTAGCGATAACCCGCGCGAAACAGTAACATCATGCGTTGCCACATCAATAATCAACATTATAACATGTGTCCACTATTGGCAGAAGATCAATTCTAGTACAATAGTATTTGGAGCTAATCAAATGTTACCGCATGTCTAGTATATGAGGCGACAAAGAGGAGAAATATGAGCATATTCACTAAGACTCGATGGAAGAAGGTCAACACATTCGAAGATCAAGTTTGATTTTATTGTTTTTAATTGAGAACGAGAAGACTAGAAATGGACTAGAAATTTAACCCCTGTTTGGATGCTTTTAATTGTAAAAAATTATGTTTTGAACTGTATTTTCGGAGAGTGCGTGGTTAAAAAGTAGGAAAAAAAATTTGGGTTTATATGTAGAATATTTTATTGTATAAATGATTGATTAAAATTGAATATGAGAAATAAATTAGAGTAAATTAAAGGCTTGAAACTGGGGCTTAATTTCACATACCTCATAAATAGATTTGATGTTAAGATCTTGTTCAATTTTATTCTTTAAAAAATTTTGTCGACTCATTTTCAACCACACATTCTTACAAAAAGTTATTTTTCTTGCTTCTTCATAACTATTTCCAACTTTTTGATTCAACGTTTGTAGAAAAAATATTTTTCATAAAATCATCTCAAGACAAGTATAGCAAGTCTTCAAATACACTCACGAGTTATCGACCAATAATGACTTAAAAAAGTTAAGACTCATCTTAAAACATCAATTAACATTAAATTAAGCTAATCATTCTAAAACGAAGGACGGTAACTCGTATCATCACGGTTAATTCCTTGTATCCGTGATTTTTGATGTCATGGACAGTCGATGGTGCTATTCCTCAATGCATGAATGTAGATTGGAGTAAAGCAAAGTATTTTATGGATGAAATAAATTCTTAGAACTAAACAAAATTTAGTTTATAGAAATATTTAAAGGATAAGAAATCATCAGGAATTGTAACACAAAAAGCATATTATAAAAATATCATAGCTTGAAGTTCCACACTGGAAAAAAGAGTAAATAGAAATGCATAATCATAAGCCAAGAAATTGGCAGCCATAATGAAGGGAAAATGAATTCAAAATATATGATCTTGTCCTCGCAATTTCACGAGTTGTAGTTTCCTTTAAGCTACAGCCGGCATGTCCTTGAGCCATGGATCGAGTGGTTTCCCAATGGAGTAGACGATAAATCCAATCTCTCTAAGCTTCTCGGCATTCACTATGTTCCTACCATCAAACACGAATGCAGGCTTTTGCATGCTGTCGAAAATCCTTTTATAGTCGAGCTTTTTGAATTCATCCCACTCGGTGATAATGCAAAGACCATGTGCATCCTTAGCTGCCTCGTAAGCATCCCAAACGACGCTCACTTGCTTCATTGAGGTAGGACTCATTGGCTGGAGGTGAAGGGGATGGTCCCAGTCGAATTTTTTCATAGACAGATCCCTCTGAATCTGATCTGCAGTGACCTCTGGATCGTATATGCTCAAGCGTGCCTTGTCCCCAAGCAGACCGTTGCACACGTCAATGGCCGGAGTCTCTCTTGTGTCACCTGTATCTTTCTTGAAAGCAAATCCAAGAACCGCAATCTTTTTGCCTGAAATTGTGTTAAACATTGATGAAACAATGCGGTTGACAAATCGGTTCTTCTGGTAATCGTTCACCTTAATAACTTGTTTCCAGTAGTTGGCCACTTCGGTTAAGCCATTGCACTCGCAAATATAAACCAAGTTTAGAATGTCCTTTTGGAAGCACGAACCGCCAAAGCCAACACTCGCATTGAGGAATTTTGGCCCAATTCTCGTGTCCTTACCGACTGCGTGGGACACTTGTGAGACATCAGCCCCAGTTGCTTCACAAAGTGCTGACATTGCGTTAACAGAGGAGATTCTCTGAGCCAAGAATGCATTGGCAGCAAGCTTCGAAAGCTCGGCTGACCAGAGATTGGTGCAAATGATCCTTTCTTCTGGCACCCAATGAGCATAAACCGCTTTCAGGGCTTGGATTGCCTTTTGTCCTTCAGTGGTTTCTCGTCCTCCAATGAGAACTCGATCGGGTCTAAAAAGGTCCTGAATCGCAGTCCCCTCGGCAAGAAACTCTGGATTCGAAAGAATTTGATAGTTGATCCCCTTGCTATTGTGCGTTAAAATTCTTTCGATTGCCTCGGCTGTTTTCACCGGAACGGTTGACTTCTCGACCACGATCTTGTCGGACTTGGATACATCGGCAATCATCCTGGCAGCACTCTCCCAGTACGTAAGGTCAGCAGCTTTTCCAGCACCTAGGCCTCGAGTTTTTGTCGGAGTGTTCACCGAAACAAAGATTATGTCAGCTTCTGAGACGTGCTTTTCAACGTCTGTGCTGAAGAAAAGATTCTTCCCTCTACATTGCTTCACCACCTCGTCAAGGCCAGGCTCGTATATCGGTAGCACGTCGCTGTTCCAGGCAGTGATACGAGCAACAGATATATCGACGACAGCCACTTCAACGGACGGGCACTTGAGGGCAATGACGGCCATTGTCGGACCACCAACGTATCCAGCTCCAATACAACAGATCTTCACCATCTTTCTCTGTATACAGAACCTACAAATATGGGATCTGACATAATTAGGAAAATAAGCAGGTTAAGATTTTATCTATTGTACTATCAATCCAGTCTCATACTATGTCTCAAACACGCACAATATCAATCTCATAGTTACTGATTCTCTGCACAATTTTCCTCCAAACTTAAAAGGGAAAGTCTAAATTCAAATGAAATCATCGCAATATATTCTACGATAAATTAAATATATAAAGAGATTCACCCACAAAAAAAAAAAAAAAGAAATGAAATGAAAACGGTATATATAGTACAAGGTTAGATAAGAAGGAAACAACAAATTCGACGCACAATTTGAAGAAAATTCTCACTACATTTGATCACGTGATAAGGTGTACTATATTGTACTGTATTAAGGAACAAAAAGCAACTAAAAATATCGTCAACTACGCGGATCAATTAGACCAAAACTTACCTCAAACGGTGGACAATTGATCCAAAATATGAGAGAACTTCTCTTGTGCATAAAAGCGAAGGGGCCAATACTTGTTTATATAATGGTAAAATTAATCTACTTTTTTCACAAAAAATAATAAGTAAAGTAAAAAGTCAGAATTACTTATGAAAAAGAAGAAGATGCAGAATTTGGAGCGTCCAACACGTTTCCAAACGTAACCTTTTAGTAATAAACAAGGAAATTCACAAGATTAATTAATCTCGTACGAGAAACGGAAAAACCACTTAAATAAGCCGTTTACGTTTCTCTTAAATAATCAAAATCAAAATCAAATTATACATCAGATTGCGTGTATCCTAATGGTTGACTGAATTTAAAAAATCCTAAAACCTTTTAGAGATGTTCTTGAAAATAAGAAAAGTGAGATTGTTTCGACCGAAAGTAATAAAATATCTTGCTTATTATGCCGTTCATTCTCGTACTAAACATGAACTAGGATTGTCGAAAACAAAGGAAGCTTAATACTTGAGAAAAAATGTGTTTAGGAGATCAAAGACAGTTAATTATAAGCACAAAACTGATATAAATTATCTTGATTTGAAGGCAACAATGTTTAAGAGAAAAACGTGTTTATACCTGATAAAATGGCCTTCAATCAGCAACAAGAAGGTGGTGAAAAGCGTGAATTACACACTAAACTGCTGGTGTAGAGAGAGTTTTACAATGAGTTACAAATGTAGATGAAGGTTATATAGGAGTATTAAAAGCTGATTGTGGAAATTTAAATGGGAATACTATTCACGGTTTTGCAATTTTGTTTATTAATACCTTGATTTTGAAAGAAAAAAAAATGCATCTTTAAATAGTGATTTTGCATTTAAAAATGAAGAACAAAATTTCGATTTACGTGTAATATTATTTTATTTAAGAATGTGTAGTTGAAAATGAGTTTTGAAAAAAAAAAAATTAATTTTTGATGAAATAGGGCTCAACAAGGGCTTTAAATACTCATCTACCCCTAAAATTCTACTCATGTCTCTAACAATGTCCCTAAACTTATATTTTTTCCAAGTCATTTGATTCTCTTCTACCTAACTTAACGTCCCACTCAACAATCGACATGTATAGCGTCTAGTATCCATAGTTTACGGCTAGGACTACATGGGTGTGGCAAATGGAGGGTGGATGTTAAAATAAAATGGCGGTTATTTTTTGTTGTTAAAAAAGAGTATTCAACCATTGATAATTTTTTGTCATTAAATTTTCTTTTTTTTAATAGTGTTACCTGAATTTCTATGAACCCTAAACAATAGAGAATAAAAATAAAATGACGGCAAAAAACTAACGGATCTATTGCATAATTCTTTATTGTTGTGAAGATTTTAGACAATTAGTTGCGGAAAGAATCATATAATTATTTTATAAACATTAATTATAATATTCTTCTTATGTACTAATATTTAACCGTTTGATAAAAAATGGTAACAAGCTTAATGTGCCCATTAATTTAAACGTGGGATTTTTGTAATGTTTCCACTTTAAACTGATAATTATTAACGAGAGATATTTTGTGGCGTTGGCATCTACGGAGTATCGACACTATTGTTATAGTGATGTATACGTGTTCGATATGTAACTGTACTGTTATATTGAATACCCATACTTTTTGAATATTCTAAATAACATGCATCTGTTTATATATATATATTTTTCAAATTTTTGATACTTGACGAATACTTTAGGGGAACTTGTCCAACAAATGCTAGTATGTCACTATGTTGTGTGCTTGTCTTATACTAAAAGGTATAAAGAATTAGATAGATTATGGGAATTACAATTTTGAAAATTTTATATCGAGATGTTCTTGACTTATCCATATTTTCCTTTTTATGAAGAATCGAGTGTTGACAACACTTTTGTATTGTGCACGTGTTTCTGCTTCTTAAGTTGGTATGATTAATTATAATATGAGAATGTAGAAAACATTGATTATGTTGTTTTTTTAATTCTTCCTAAATGTTTCTTTATAAAACGCAAACTTATTACCATATTTTTTATTTCTTTTACCTAAAGATACAAGAGAAATATAATAAAACTAGATTTGAGTGCATATATATAAATCTAAATAATTCCTTTATTTATAAAGAAAATATCTAATTTAAGTACAATGAAAATTCGGCTTTAAATGAAAAATAACTAAAGAAGGGATATTTTAATACAATAAGAGAAAATAATCATACAATATTAGACACATTGGGAATGTGGGATTAAACATTAATTCAATTAGCCTTATTGCAATATTTATCCCAAAAATGAATTATTTTATGCTATGATCCTTAGTGTTTCAAACGATAAGATTCAATATGGATTTGATTTATGCAAGATAGTAAAAATTAGAAGTTCATATTGGGAGGTATATTTAGAAGAGTACAAATATTTTATATTACTACTCATAAAGTAAAAATAAGCTATTATAGATACTATAACTTGTGTAAAGAAGGCCTTAACTGCCCTTTAAGAAGGTCCCTATTTTCCTATAATTCAAAGCCTATACGTTGGGAGGGTTGGCAAACAAAACCATGACTTCCTTCTTGTCCTTTCTGTTTTGGCACGTAAGAGCAAATTCATGAAACTATTAAACACAAGATATTGTTGAATTGATTAGCCATTGACATATAAAAACATATGTTAAATAAAAGATGTGAAGAAATTAATAAATGTTTTTTTTAAAATAAAATGAAAAGCCAAAATAGAAGTATTCTTTAAGTATATATAAAAAAAAATTATTCTCTAAATTTAAGATATTCTCTACAATATATATACGATGCTCTTTATAAATTGAGAGTTTCTTCAAAATATTGTAAGCCATTAAACGCTATGCTATTTAAAAATGACGTGATTACATTAGAATTAAAAATGATGACAAACATTTTTATTGATAAATGCATTTTATGCACTATTTGGGGCTCCTTTACTTCGTATATTTATTGTTAATTGAGTTAATATCTACCTAATGTAGGTGTAAATACATTAATTGTTGTACACATATTACAATAATTCAAAGAGAGCCATTGGAGAGAAAATATATATTCTCGCGGAACTTTGAAAAGTTTTGATACCATACACATATTCCATAAAATTCAGTATTGCTTTGACTTGAAGAAGAAGAAGAAGACGACGACGATGTCCAAGGAGAATTCAAGAACCATTGAAGGGATTTGAAATTCAACAGTTTTTGTCTACCTTCTCGGATCTTAATTTTTCGGGTGATGTTGTATCTATATAAAAGTTCTTGTTGGATGTATATTTAGGATATGTTTGATAATGGATATTATAAAATTGATTTTTTTTGTTGTTGTTGAATGTGTAGTTAAAAAGTACATAAAATGTATTGATCAATGTGCAAAATTATTATTATTATTATTATTATTATTGCAAAATCTGCGATTAAAGATGAATATGAAAAAAATATAAATTAAAAAAAAAAATCTATACTAGGCAAGGACTTAAAAGAGACCAATCTTTTATATTGCTCGTAAAGTAAAAAATAAACTATTATAAGATACTACAACGCATGTGGGTAGGAGAAACAAGGTCCGTTGGATAATAAGACACTTGACTTCATAAAAATCGATCGGCCCTTCTTATTATATGCATCATTAAAAATGATGACAAACATTTTTATTGATAAATGTATTTTATGCACTTATTTGGGAGTAATTTACTTCGTATATTAATTATTAATTGAGTTAATATCTACCTAATGTAGGTGTAAATACATTAATTGTTGTACACACATTACAACAATTCAAACAGAGCCATTGGAGAGAAAATATATATTCTTGCAAAGCTTCGAAAAGTTTTGATACTAGACACATATTCCATAAAATTCAGTCTTGCTTGGACTTGAAGAAGAAGATGAAGAAGACGTCCAAGGAGAATTCAAGAACCATTGAAGGGATTTGAAATTCAAGAGTTTCTCTGTCTATCTTCTTGGGTCTTAATTTTTCGGGTGATGTTGTATCCATATAAAAGTTCTTGTCGGATGTATATTTAGGATCTGTTTGATAATGGATATTATAAAATTGATTTTTTTTTGAATGTGTAGTTAAAAAGTAAAGAAAATGTATTGATCAACGTGTAAAACATTTATTATTATTGTTGTTGTTGTTGTTGTTGTTGTTGCAAAATCTATGATTAAAGATGAGTCTGAAAAAAGAAAAATACTATTAATCCCCAGTGGGGATGCATCCCCAATCTATGTGGATGTAAATGATTGGTTAAATGATAGGTGAAATTAAATGACTTATTTAATTTCACTCATCATTTAATGCCACATTAACGCTACATAGATTGGGGATGCATCTCCAGTGGGGATGAATAACATTTCTCCTGAAAAAAATATAAATTTCAAAAATACACACACACACACACATATGTATGTATGTATGTATGTATGTATGTATGTACTAAGCAAGGTCATAAAAGAGACCAATCTTTTATATTGCTCGTAAAGCAAAATATAAACTATTATAAGATACTACAACTCATGTAAAGACGGCCTT